TAAACTAATCAATGAAAGTGACATTAATAATGGAAAAGTTTATTTCATCCACATGCAATGTCAGGCCAACTGCTAGTTTATTACTTCTGATGAGCCAAGAAACCCATACAGTAATGTTGTTGATGCACTTTCAGCATTGGCATTTATACCATCAAGAATGTGCAGACAACTATATAATCACCATTGTTGTGTTGCCATACATGGAATATTATACTGTTAGAGCAGCTTTAATAATGTATGTAGGGGCAAGTGCTTGAAAGGAATTTGAAGCAAGTTATTGTTTTTAACTTTAAAACCAATTTTGTAAATTTTGGTCTATTTTATCGCAGGCTGAATAAGATGTTTCCCACTTAATTGGGACATCTGAAAGATTTTTTAAAAAGAGATCACTAATTCAAAAAGAAGCTTTTTTGCAGAGGACTGCTCATGATTTATCCAAGGATAAAATAATTTAATATTTGTCTGGTCTCCCCAACTTTACACTTTAATTCTTTGATAAAACAGCCAAAAAATTATATTGATTTTATATTAAATACTGTCACAAAGAGAAAACCGGATGCATGCAGACATCCATTAGTAAAACAATAATTACAATAATAACGCAATTTAATGTCAAAGCTACAAAGTGTCCAGACAGACGCTAACAATCATATGTTCTTTTTGAAGAACAACTTGTTAACAGTGTGAACAGCGCAGCGTTGTGTGCAGGCGCCTATTAAGATCGCAGACATAAGGAGATGTCATTGTTACTTTTAGTCTGCTAGAATACTGCATGAAAAATTAGACAGAGACGGATCAAGCAATTAAAATGTCCATTATCAATGACTGCCTTGCATGTACTACTGGTTTCAAGTAAGATTAAAATTAATTCGCTCCAACATGGTTGACAACTTCATCAATCTAACATGAATTCTATGCATTCCTATTAAAAATCATTTTCCTTAGTTTTTCAAGGTCTTCATTTAACAAAAAATTAAATATGGCTGGGAAAAATTATGAATCTTGATGATAAAGGAACCTTTTTTTTGGGGGGGGTGACAAACTTTTGACTAATTGTCTAATACAAAGGACATTATGTGGTTGCTAGGTATACATTATCATTTACCTTGTTTGATAAGTGTCTACCTATCAGTGGTTTTTTAGTCAGATATACTGAATGGGACCCCCCTCCTCTCTGTCCCTCTCTCTCTGACTGGACCTTTTCCAGTAAGAGTAGAAGTGTCAACAGAGTTGCAAATATAAAAGGCTATTAAGGTACTTACATATTATGTTTCTCATGTTCTTAACTTTTGGAAAACCTCTTATTTGATTTACTTATTGGGATCACCTATCTCAAAGAATAAAATAGGCTACTCGTCTTTATTAAGTTGTATTTCTAAAAGGCTATGCTTGACTTCTGAAGACTTTTCAGAACACTGGTACATATATGAAAACTGAATGCACATATATTAAGGAATTCCAAGCAAATTTCCTAAAAACTAATTGACTGCAATTTTGTACAAGTATCCTGTATTGCAAAGCCACTATGAATTTTAGTTTTTTTTCTAAGCCTAACCTACTTTCAAGAGAAAAGCAGGAAGAAAATTTTGAATCCCAAGGTAAACTTCTACTTTTTACAACCCTAGATTTCATCTTTAGTAATCCCACATTAGTATCATGTGCATTTCTCCCTGGTACCAGTTTTATTCCAATAAAGACTCATGTTTCACTGATAAGATAGTGCTAAGTCAACTGAAGTGACACAATTGCGTGTCATCAGCCCAGATTTTTTATAAACAAGACTGTTAGGTGGGATGCAAAGGTATAGAATCAACAGTTCTTCCTGGTTGACAATCTTTGAGCTCTGCGGTGGCTGTGCTAGGGTATTATAATAGGTTCTGGGTTGACACTTAATACAAGTACACTTACTCCACTCTTCTTTTTATCTTCAATAATCAAAACAGACAGCCAAGAAAATTTGGAAAAACAAATTAATCAGTTCATTTTTTATCTGAACAGATTAATTTGCTTCCTTATTGAACAGATTTAATCTAACGATCACGATCAGGGCTAGCGCTCTATTGTTAGCTCTCTAATTGAACACGTCTTGTAAATAACTGTGGGTATTTGGCAAAAAGTGATCGTTTTCGCACGTAACTTCCCATTATGGAGCGAGACATGGACAGTTTGGTAACAATTCAACAAATTCCACCTTTTTGTTTGATACTTAAAAACTGTGAACATATTCTGTTTATAACAAAATAGGGCGAAAATAATGCCTACTCTTAACATCCATTTCATAACATAATGCTCTGCCCTTTACGTAGCCTTCACTGCTTTTGACATAGAAAATCAATACAGGTGTTCCTACCTTGTTTTTATCTTGCTGTTCCAGAAACGTGACAATGCCTGCCCGTACCCTGTTTTTGAAACCCCGAACAGTCCCCTTGCCACTAACAATAATGTGTTCTTCCAGCGCCGACGTGTTCAACATGTCCCTCCGGCCGGCAAAAATTGAGCTTTTGCCATTTTTACCGTCCTCCACGCTCTCATCGGCAAACCCGTTCACATAGAAATGTTCGTTGAAAATATTTTTCACGTGGGGTCTACTATCTTCCCCATTTTCTGGATCTTTTAATGGCTTCGGATGGTGGTTTTTTGTCACCTTTCGACTTTTCTGTTCGGGACTACGATTCTGTGGTTTTGACTGTACAGGCGGCGCATAGCCATTTTGAAACCTGCCGCACTCCACTATATCTGTTCGATCTATTGTGTCGATTATAGTAACCGGCGCCTTCTTCTCACTTTTAGTGTCCTCAACTTGGTCTAGTTCACAATGCGCCGTGTCTCTGAAGATTCTTAACCAGTCTGGAGATTTTCTCCTCCGTTTATCTGTAGCGGACATGCTTCCTGATTTCCTCACCAACTGTGACAGTGCTTGGCATGTGTTGCGGGTGGAGTTCCCAGCTGCTAGTTGGTCACGTGACAGATATTATCAACCAGGATTCCCCCTATTCTTCATTCATGCACTAGACACTGGGTGTAATTTTTACTCCTTGGCAATAGTATTTTTTTCTATCAATTAAATAAAAGAACACATGTTAAGTACCACGGGCTACGCATTACATGCTAAGCTTACGATCAGCTGATCACGACAATTTCTATAAGAAAGTTATTGTCATTATGGCCAACACGGTGAAATGTCAGGTGAGACAAATGTGCTAGCTGAGAACATCCGAGCACAATCGCTTTCCTTATAGGGTTGCAATCTAACTTGGTCTGCCAATACTTTTTTTTTTAGTTATATGCCATTTTGATTTTAAAAAAAACTTCCTTTAATCATGTTTAATATAAATTGCATTCATTGCAGTGCATTAAAACAACAGTGATATTTTTTTATGCAAACACACAATGCAGGTGTACCGATGAAGCTTGGTTGCAACAGAGGGTCATTTGGTGGTTCTGGAATTTTTAAACTTTATTTTACTTGTAAGTGGTCCAGACTGTCCTAGCAGGCTGTGGATTGACTCTGGTTGTCAATCTGAGATAGAAACCAGATTTTTTTCTTTTATTGAGGAATAATTTTCTTCCTTGCTCTAGCATTTCATTTTCACATAAGCACATTCCGAATTATCTTGCATAACATGCAAATCTATTCAAAAATATTTTTCTAGCTCCCCTATCCTTATTAAAAATCAAATCCAAAACAGCTTACTCCATATCATATCTTTCATTTTTCTTTATTATTTTATACTTTACATTACTTTATTATTTACAGNGACGTGTTCAACATGTCCCTCCGGCCGGCAAAAATTGAGCTTTTGCCATTTTTACCGTCCTCCACGCTCTCATCGGCAAACCCGTTCACATAGAAATGTTCGTTGAAAATATTTTTCACGTGGGGTCTACTATCTTCCCCATTTTCTGGATCTTTTAATGGCTTCGGATGGTGGTTTTTTGTCACCTTTCGACTTTTCTGTTCGGGACTACGATTCTGTGGTTTTGACTGTACAGGCGGCGCATAGCCATTTTGAAACCTGCCGCACTCCACTATATCTGTTCGATCTATTGTGTCGATTATAGTAACCGGCGCCTTCTTCTCACTTTTAGTGTCCTCAACTTGGTCTAGTTCACAATGCGCCGTGTCTCTGAAGATTCTTAACCAGTCTGGAGATTTTCTCCTCCGTTTATCTGTAGCGGACATGCTTCCTGATTTCCTCACCAACTGTGACAGTGCTTGGCATGTGTTGCGGGTGGAGTTCCCAGCTGCTAGTTGGTCACGTGACAGATATTATCAACCAGGATTCCCCCTATTCTTCATTCATGCACTAGACACTGGGTGTAATTTTTACTCCTTGGCAATAGTATTTTTTTCTATCAATTAAATAAAAGAACACATGTTAAGTACCACGGGCTACGCATTACATGCTAAGCTTACCATCAGCTGATCACGACAATTTCTAGAAGAAAGGTATTGTCATTATGGGCAACACGGTGAAATGTCAGGTGAGACAAATGTGCTAGCTGAGAACATCCGAGCACAATCGCTTTCCTTATAGGGTTGCAATCTAACTTGGTCTGCCAATACTTTTTTTTAGTTATATGCCATTTTGATTTTTAAAAAACTTCCTTTAATCATGTTTAATATAAAATGCATTCATTGCAGTGCATTAAAACAACAGTGATATTTTTTTATGCAAACACACAATGCAGATGTACCGATGAAGCTTGGTTGCAACAGAGGGTCATTTGGTGGTTCTGGAATTTTTAAAGCTTTATTTTACTTGTAAGTGGTCCAGACTGTCCTAGCAGACTGTGGATTGACTCTGGTTGTCAATCTGAGATAGAAACCAGATTTTTTTCTTTTATTGAGGAATAATTTTCTTCCTTGCTCCAGCATGCCTTTTTCACATCAGCACATTCCGAATTATCTTGCATATCATGCAAATCTATTCAAAAATATATTTCTAGCTCCCCTATCCTTATTAAAATTCAAATCCAAAACAGCTTACTCCATATAATATTTTTCATTTATCTTTATTATTTTATACTTTACATTACTTTATTATTTACAGTAAAATGAACATCATCTTTTGTTCAGCAGAGAATTTAAACATCACATAGATCACCAGACAATTTCAAAGTGACAAGTGACACCATCTTCCACAAAATGAAACTACCCACTAAATATTGCATATGTATATACTGTAAGGAGGTATTCTAATATCTTAGAAAGTCATACAAACTCCATGCTTGGATCTCAATATTTCATGAGATAAAGCAGGTCTTTAGTTAAAATAAAGTTTAATATCATCGTTTTATATTTTTACTAGTCATAGACTACAGAACAGCATACCAAACACTGCAAAAGCAGACAAACACATGAAACAGTGATCACTTCCAAACAAAATGTCCAATATAAACTTGGTCACAACACTTGCAACGTTTCAAATTTCCACATACATATGTGTTTTGTCAAAGCAGCTGATCCAGGAGAGTGACTTTAACCTCCTTATGTTTCAACAACTAGCTAAGGCCTGTGTTTCGTCCGAAAAAGGAGCTCTTGGATCCCAGTTGTAATTTAAAGTCAGGGTGGATAATATGCCTTCTTCTCTAAAATCTGCATGTACAAACAATACGTCAATAGCCATCCAATTTTATATATCTCTTTTTTCATTTCAAATCCATAAGATGTCTGTAAAGCTCTCTAATACAACTACACTACATTCTATTTTGCCATTTCACATTGCCCTTGATAGTGTATCACTGTCTATATACATTTTATTCATATCACAAACTGTTTCCTTTTTTCTTTTCCAATGTCTGTATACAAGAGCCATGTACTGCTTCCCGTATCATCAATGTACTTCACTTATGCACTGCCCCTTAAGTACAATTGTTCTTATATCACATCTCTTTCTCTCTCGTTCTCTCCCTCCATTAACATTGCTACATTTTGTAGTAAGCTCTGCTGTCGAAGATCACCATTTTCTTCTCTCACTAACATGGACTCTTTTAAATACTTAAGTTAACCATGGTTCAAGCACAAAACAATGGGTTGGGCTGTGCACTATTTACGTAGAGGCACAGCATGTAAAAATACACGGAATAGAGCATGGCATTACAGAATGCTATCTGCATTAACTACAGTTTAAGTCACATGAAGCACTTGTCATGAAGCTTTAAGAAATATAGTTGTCCTGGTGCCAATTATCAAGTAGCCTATTTGGCAAAAAGCTACACAATCTGTGCTTTATCTATTACTTAACATACACTTGTCCTTGACATACACTTGTCCTTAACATACACTTGTCCTTGACATACACTTGTCCTTAACATACACTTGTCCTTGACATACACTTGTCCTTGACATACACTTGTCCTTTTTTATATAGCTTCATAAATATTTAGGACCTACAAAGTAAATTAAACTAAAACAGCACATGAAGAATTATCCGTCTTTTTTACCTGAAATATTTGGATACTTATGTTCGGTAATATGCAAGCCCAGCTTTTTATTTGTCACTCATAACATTATGGTTTTGTATCATTAAAGCATAGTTTTCATTATATATACATATATATATATATATCAAGGAATGCTGTGTGTATTATATCAATATAAAAGCATAGATGAACCAAAAAAATGTCACTAATAAATAATATACACTTGCTTACAATATAATGACAATATAAAAGACTAAAGCAACATTTAGACAGGACCTATCTTGACAGGGAATGAGTCTCACTTACATCACTGGATACAATACTTAACCAATTGCCAATTTAAATCTCTTCTTGTTCAGATAAAAAATGCTCCACAAAACCTGTACTTAGGTTGCAATCCTAATATCTTCCACCCCGCTTTCCACAGATATCCTGAGGCGATTTTCAAACCATCTCAGCATACCACATGATTACAATTTTTAACCTTAAAGAAGCCAATCTCACATGTATCTGGTCATTATCCCACCCACCTTCAACTGTGACTGAGGCAAGCCAAGTGATATTACATTAACTGTCTATGTTAAGAAATCCTCATCACACAGACTGCTGGGACATTCCGCATTAAGTCCAGCCTTCCCAACCTGACTGGAAATGCAGCCCAAATTCTCCCTATAACCTTGTCAACCAATGATGCAAATAAGGTCAATTTCCAGTCTGTAATGCAGTCTAGTCGGGGGCTTCTATGGATATAAAGGGTACAGTTAACCTCTGAGGTTCTTCTATAGTTTTCTTAGAATTACTGCTGCCAGGTTTTTTCACTTCAGTGTTCTCTTGGGGCTCTGTAACGTTTTGTTCACTGTCATCTTTTTGTATTTTGTATGAGATGTTTCCATATTCCTGAAGTAGTGGACAAACTCCTAGCACACACTGGCAGAAGTCTTTCCTGATGCCAAACCACCCTGGAATGGAAGAATGATTTCAAATTAGAAAATTTCTTAAAAATATAATTTGATATTAACAATTCATCAAAACATTTTACACTGAAATACAATAAGGAAAAAAATATATGACCATGAGGTTCACCGCTGAACATTTGTCTTGCCAGATTAAACACATTTAATGACAATGTGACATGCCAAAAAATAATTTTAAAGAAGCCGACAGTCTGCAAGAACTTAAGCTAAAGTTGTTTACACCTGGTGGTGATCCCTCCCTTGAATTCTAATGTAACATCCATATATTAAAAAATATTAATAAAAGATATTAATTCTATTTATTAATTCTATTTATCCAAAAAAAGGCAAAGCTAGTCGGTGAAAACCCCATACATTCATAGGTATTTTAGTTAACCAGTACTATGGAAAATTGGATTTTCTATGCAACAGTGGGACAAATTCAAACAGCTTCAGCTCTACATGGATGCAATGATTACTTACAATGGTTTCCTCCCTTAGCCCCAAAAGTCATGCCTATCAGAGCTAACAGAGCAATATAGAATGGTAATGACACAGCTACATAGTAGGAGTAGTTGGCAGGGTGCTCCAGCTTGTTGGCTAGCAGTATCTGAAAAATATCATACCGTATGGATGGCATTCACTGTTCCACTGTTAATTCAGTACAATAAAATACCATTATCATTTGTTGACATATTCTTGTAGACAGCATTTATGCGTGAAGACTTACTATGAAACTTTTATCAGTGAATGTCTGGACGTCTTTTCAAATATCTATTCTATTTTTTTTTAGACAAATGGTTATTTAAATTCAAATGATGACAAAACATTTAAATTTAGAAAGAGTGAGGTTGTGATTGTTAACTTCTTCTGAAATGACAAAGTGGTCAAGATAATAACAACACTGATAAAGTACAATTATACAAAATACAGTAACTAATAACATTCAAGTCACTTTCATTGAAACTGTCATCTACATATCATTTAAAGAAACAACATATACCACATACCAATGAAGAACTTACCAGAAAAATCAACATTGGAATGACTAGAAATGTGTACCCCAGTGCTGAGCAGGCGTTACCCCTCCTCTGCTCTGGTATAATGTCTGGAGACTTCATGAGAATTATGGCCAATATAATAACATACAGCACCCCTATCATTGCCACACACATCAGTATCCACAGTGGGATGAAAACAATCTAAAATGATAGCAAAGAATTTATATCAAAGCATGCAGCAACCCTGTCAGTAATAATATATGCTTGGAATACCTTTGTGTATAGTTATCAATCCTGAAACCAAGTTTAATTACCTGACTTATGGTACATTAATCATTTATATCTTTAAGTTTGTCCTGCAATTATCTATTCAACTTCAATATCAAATATTTGGATAAATATATCTCACTTTCCATACTATTCAATTGCTAGCAACTAATGTATCTTGTACTTACCACCCAGTTCCACATAATAAACCCATCAAACCGCAACGCTAGGAATATAAACTGTAAAATGTTCACAGCACAAAACAGCTCCATCTAAAAGAGAACGACTGAACATAAATAGAATTATCCTCTGTGCTGATGCAGAATAATAACTATATTAGGTATGCAGAGATGATACAAAAACCAAGTTGACCGATATATTAAAATATCACAGAACCTTTCTTCTTTGGAGAACATTAACCCCCCATCATTCAGAGTAGAAAACTTGGGTGCCCTTTCATATTAGTTCTCTAGGTTCCTTGAACATTTAAAGACCTATGAATCTCAATATCTCATATTCCTTCATACCCAACAGTGAGCATTTTTCTGTACTCAATACATATTCATGATATACATGAAATGCACTTCGTTTGACACCCTACTCTCTTTCGAACATCAGGTCACTTCATCTTTAGGAGTAACCACAAATAAGCCCTTAGCTTTGACAATCAGCACTCTTCAATATAGACATTATCTATGAGCCTACTAAAACATACTGGTCACCAAGTTTGATGGCAGTTGTTTGATGGACAACCCTTTTTTTATTAAATTTAAACAGCCTGCACTCATCTCTTTGGACACAACTTCAACACCTACCTCAAATGTCCGTTCATGTTTGACAGCCCAGACACATATTCCTATGGACACTATAGACATGAAGATGAGTGGAATGAACACAAGGATCCAGTGATGCTGGGAAGAGGTCTCCAAGTTATCACAGACTAGCAGCTCAAACATCAGCAGTAGGAGGTGCATCCCTGTACTGATGATCATAGCTTTGTATTGCACATAACTATCTCCTTCAATTCTGAAAATATGATGAATATTAGGAATATAAGCAAAAACTCAAACTATCACACACAGATTCACATACATGGGCACGCCTGCTGATATAGGAGGGTGTTTCCTCAACATATAATTATAAAGCTAAGCAGACAAGAGCCAGAATAAACATGTATACCTCTAGAATAGTCACCCTCTACATACACACACACACACACACACACACACACACACACACACACACACTTGTATTTAAGGTGTTCCCACTACACATCCACGTTTGATTGAAAAAAGGACCAATATCTAAGACTTGCTGAAAGCTTTCAAGATCAATTAGGCATTCTGGCAGAATGAATTTTTTGGGACTAACTGTAAATTTGAATTTTTTGCCAATCCCTTGAATAGACTAGATGAACACAATTGTTAATTTAATTGTTAACTGGTCCTCAAAAATTTTATCGTGTGGTAGGACTGACAGTTGACACATGATTGGTAGGACTAGCAGTTTCAGCATGTGTGACATCTTTCACAACCTGCTCTCCATACACACATCAACACACACACACACACACACACACACACACACAGGATAGATACCTGTATTGAGGGTGTTTCCACCACACATAACTGCCCACACAGGAGCCAGCAAGGACTAGTATCTTCCACAGCCAGATAGGCAGGAAAACCACCCAGTAGCTCCACTCTATCAGGCCATCAAGGCGCAGTGCAAACAGGAAGGAGAATAGCAGGAGACATGAATACACCACAAATTTGCTGGAATATATTACAAGAACTTATTAATAAAAAATAAATAAATACATTTATGTGTTGGAAAAATTATCCACATACATCAATAAAAATGGTAAAATAATCAGCTGCAGTAGCAGATGTACTAAAAAAATAAACGAAAAATAATGAGCTGCCGTAAGACATTCACCACTGTTCAGTGTGATTGACCAAAGAACAGGACATACTTATTTTATTTTTACTTTCGAGTCTTGTTTCCACTTCTAGTGAACAAAGTAACTTTTCCATGTAAACTATGGTGGAATCGTTTTTATGCTCATTAAAACAACAGATAACTTACCTTGGATTAAAATCTTGGAAAAGGTGCCGAAGATTCATGATATACTAGACTTCAGTCATCATTACGATGTAACTTAACAAAGGTCTTCTCTTCCGATTCACCATATTGGATTTGCTATATGTCGCTTGCAACAACAACAAATATCCACATAAGAAAGGGTAATACTGCGCATCGATATCCTGACTGTTGCGTGTACAGTTGCAGCACAACACTGGTGAAGTTTCTTCCCAAAATCGCTGAAGGCCATTGAAGTTATGAGTGTGGATTTAAGTTTTGAAAACACGCTATATATTTACTTCAGAAAATCGCTGCACTCCACATGCTCCTTTTCTTAATTTATATTACAAACAGTAGAGGAGAAACTCAAAATAAAACGCACTGGTTTTAATAATAATAATAATAATAAATTTATTTTAAGTCTAAAATCCATTTAAAATGTTCAGTAGACTTTACATAAAATATAATAAATAATACTACATAAAATATCATAAATAAAATCTAGGTAAAACAACCATTATTCCATACAATTTTAGGGTGCAACAACAGTAGGCCTATTTACTCCAGTATAGGGTCCAATATCAGTTACGGGATACTACACCGGTTTGAAATTCAAAAATTCACAAAGTCATATTTTCTATGTGTACATATCCTGCAAAACTACTCGGTCATTTTTCCCAAATTACAGCGAATTCAGATGATTAAAAATATATAACCCTTCAAATAAAAGTTCCTTCTGAAATGTATACAGGGCTTACAGGAAGATAACGTTATAATACATGTATATATACATGTAAATGACTGGCCAATAATTAAGAACTAAATTATCAAACGGCGAATCCAAGTGCAGGGACGAGCCGAGCATGCAATGATTCCAGAGAATGAGAAAAATGCATCCTTTTTTCCTGAGAAAATGCATTCTGGCGGGTAAACCCATGTATAGAGTATATATATATGCGGTGTATACTCAGTACGGCGATCCATCGATGCTGTAAGGATGTACAGTAGCCCTACTGGATGATCTGAGGTCCGTGAGACAGGCTGTTTGACTCAGTCACAGATCAGAGAGATTCATCAACAAACTGCAAAAACTGGTTAAGTCAGATACAACCATGTTTACCTTTTTTTAAAGCATCGTATTTCGTTTTATAGGCTCATACATAATCTTTATTTAAAAAAAAGACGTTTAATTAAGAGTGTAACAAGCGGTGTTAATTAATTATTTTCTCTTTTTATGTCATTAGAAGTAACATTTTTGTAACAAAACATACAAGGTTTCTTGACATTGTAATAATTTTGTGTGAATATTGCCATGTTTTGCGCAGCTTTGTTTTTACAGTTGATATATTTTCCTGGAGAATGCATTTTAACTTTAATATTTTCCCGTGTCTGAGGTATTAATTTTCATCGTGGGTGCGTATACCACAACTTATTACACGACGCACGCGTTTTCTACATACACCAGGCTAGTTATAGTGTACGTTTACTCAAAAATAGGGGTAATGATGCTGAAAACAATTTGATTTTATGTTTTTTCGCCTTTCTAGTGAAGTTTACTTCGTTTTAATTTTAAAAAATACATAGAGCTATAGTGGCAACGTGCAAGAAACGTGTCTTTCATATAATTGTTATGTCATATAAATACGGGAAATACATGGAAATAGAGACTCCAAAAAAAAGTTAGAAGGTTGTATTTTTATTTTATAAAGACAGCGATAGGAAGAACCAGTTCACTGCTGCTCTCGCATAACGAACTAAACCCCCTGTCTCCCTTTTTCCCTTAACTACAGTCGAAAACAGCCTTTCTCTGTTATTCGCATTTGCCGCACAGATGACAGGCCAGAGTGACACACTTATCTTCCCTTGTTTCCGCTGTATACGCTCGTACAAAAAATCACGGATATATTTATTTATTTATTTTGCGCGCGACCGCGAGCATCACATCTTTACCGGAAATACCGGAAGTAACACAGGCTGCGCAATACACATGTGCAGATTAATGACAACACGACAGTCAAGTTACCAAAGCTGAATCATGAAGATAGGGACGGCTGTTTGATTCGCAATAGCTGCTTCACATTTAAGGTAAATAATTTAGAGGTATGCTACGTAACATTTTGCCATATACCATCACTAGATTTGAAACCAGTGCAGAAAATTGGGTGAGTTAAATGTGCTTCTGAAACGGCTCGTTATCATGATCTGATTGGGATGACAGAATTCAATTACTACCTTCACTGTGTAACTTAACTTTATTAAACCCCCGTTATGTTCTTCTTCATCCGTGAAAAACAACCTAATGATGAGTTTCACTTACTTTAGCTGACTTCTGTTGAATTTTTTGAGTTAGACTATCATTTGAAGCTGGTTTGGACCCATTGCAAGTAACGGGTGTTTTTATTTTAATGCCACCTGAGCGTTCCATGTATCAAGGGTTCAAGGTTACAGGTATATTAATGGCAGTTATACACAACAGAGGTTAAAACTAAAACGAAACAGACACATAAGAATTACGCAGACCACACAATAAATAATGCTTATACTCACGCTCAGCTGTCACCTTGATTGGTTAATAAATGAGGGTCGTTAAAATCGCCATATGATTAAGAAACCAGGTGAATATGCCTGAAAACCACATAAAACCACCCACGACTGCCATACTTGTCTACAATACGCAAAGAAAACCCTGTGCATATACTTTTACTGAAGGATTATGATACAAGCCATAGCAGTATTGTAGATGGGGTATTGACCAACAGTATTAATTAATATAAAATGCATAGTGTATTACTAGAAATCCCTCAGTACAATAAGAATAAAAAATAACAATATTGTTTGTTTTACTTATGTTAATAGAGACACAACCACTTTCCATGCATCAATATTTGAGTGGGTTAAGCCTTGAATTTGAGGTATTACAAACCAGTAGGAATATATGCTGGTTTGATTTGAGCAAATTAAATTATTCATTTAAAATATATGTATTGTATTGGCACTTTGCCATGGAAAGCAAGATGTTTTAAAACAAAAGCATTTCATGTTTTTATTTACAGTTTACTGATGAGTTAGAGCCCAGCAAAGATGTTCGCTAAATTGAAGAAAAAAATTCAAGAGGAAGGAGGAGAACCTGAAAAGGCTGGTCTTCCTTCTGTACATGGGCAGCCCAGTCCTGTTGCTAAATCAGGTAATAGTTAAATGAAAAAAATACTCTATGGACGCATTATCAGTGAATGATACAATATAATTTATGGCTGTATTTTTCTCCTTTCACCATTTCCTTCTTTGGAAAAAATATGATGTTCTGTAAAGCATTGGAATAGTTACAAGCAAGGATATTTATTATATTTTCATAAATGTTTGTAGTTTATGGTGACTATTGACCCTTTGCATTACTTTATGCAATATTTTTAAAGGTGAGACATTGCCACTTATGTCTTTCCCAATAGGGTTTTCATTCCCCACAAGAAAGAAGGATGGTGAGAATAAGGATAATGATTCTGGGACCAGTGGTACATCAGAAGAAGTATGTGTGAATACATTACTGTGTATTGATTTTTAACAAATAAGTGTTTCTTAATTAGCGGTTTAGTTTTTATGATATTTCATTACTGGATACACTTCTTGATTTTGGTGCACTAGATATTTGTTAAGATTAAGGAGTTTTAATATGACTGGTGATCGTTGGTGTGTCACTGTGGAGTGGGTTGGCAAAGAGAGGTTGCTTGCTTAATTTTTGTGTGCAGGGTCACACCCAAGTTTCCATAATCTGATTTTTTACTTTCAGAATAAGGAGGCAGGAACTAAGGAGGAAGTTATGTCCATGCTAGTCAAGAGGACTGAACAAGTCAAGAAACTTGAAGCACAAGTTGCAGGTAATTTTTTAAAAAATTTAATACATAGATTTGTGATACCCAGAATCAGACTACAGTAAAAATGGGCCATGGAAGATCTGTTTTAAGTAAGCAAGTTTTGAAAGAGGGTTTTACAAGTCATATTTGTCATATTAAAGATCATCTAAAACGGTACATTACTCCAGGCTTAGCAGTCTTTACTGAGGCATTGAACTGGGTTAAGAGCATGATTACAGTAACCTGTCTTGTCACATGATGCACCACTGGGCATAAGTTTTATGAACACAGGCTGTGATCATAACTCTTACAACATTTCAAAACTAAAGGTATAAATGAAATTAAACCTCGACCAGGTTATATACTGTTAAATTTCATGTTCTTGTGATAATTTCAGAGTACACCAATTTACTGAAGGAGAGGACCAGAACTGTAGAGAAGCTGGAGCAGACATTGGAGAAACAAACTGACAGTATGGTGTACTTTCTGTATTGTTAATGAATAAATACAGTTAAAGAAGACTGGTTACTTATCTATGAGAATTACATTAAATACCTATGTCCGTGAATTTTTTTATCATGATGAAACAGATAAAAATGTTGCTTGCTTGTCGAAATATTACATATTAAAAATGCAACTAAAAAGATCAGGAGAAATGTAGTTTTGGGAGATTCCTTTTAAAAGCTCTACATTTGAATCCACATGTAAACTAGTTAAATATGCATGTTAAATGGTTCAGCTGTTGCTGACATGTCTATATTGTTTCCCTTTGTTTCCCAGCTTCATCTAAGCGCATACAGGAATTAAATGAGCAGTACCAGTCAAATCGCAACAAGATGACTGAAGGGTTTACAATGGCACTGCAGAAAAAAGATGAGGTAGGTATATTACCTTCATCAAAACAAGCTCAATTATGGATGTTTTAACAATAAGGTATTAGAATATACATTCAACTGAATGTTGTAGAAACTCTTTAACATTAAATAACAACTCTTTAACACTGTAAATATTTTGTAGACTAGAAAATTATATAAATAGATAAAGAGCAGGTAATTATCTGAAATAGACTGCATTTACCCTTGGTTATATTTATGGCCATTTTTATTGTAGGAGACAAAAGAGCAGATAGATGCAATACAACAGGTAAATGATAATATTTAAAGCCATTGTAGTGGGTTGAAACCTTAGTGGGCATAATGTTGTCTGCTAATTAAACCACCACTTCAACCTCTGCGGGTGAATTTTTGTATGTTGTCAAAAATTACACAATCCTTTGCAAACTTTCTACCTTTAGAACCTCAGTATATTCTGTTGTATTTGCTCTTTTCACAACTGACCCATTTGAATTTGAGTAAAATGTTGATCAATTACAAAACTTCCTTTCTTTAGATGCAGAATGATGACCTACTTTACCTACTTTTGAAATTGTCATTAATGTTATGTAATTTTAATAAGACTTTGAAAACTTGGCTTTTTCTGTTATAACCAACAGGCAACTGAAGAAATTTGATTTAATTTGATTTGACAAAAAGGTGGACAAATTTAAAGATAGATGGGAAGATGTATGTGAATTGGTTCAAATATGTTTTGTAATAAAATATGCCATATACATGTACATTGCAAGCATCTTTCCACCCACCAGGAAAAAACAGATTTAGAAGCTCGTCTAAAAGAGGCAATGGAGTATCAGAAGAAACTGTGTAAACGTGAAGAGGAAAATGAAGAGTTTGAAGGGTTGACAACGCAGGAAATTGCCAAAGTCAAACATATGGTTGGTATTATGTTTATTTTTTCAAAGTTGTATTTCTTTAGCATGCATAACTGATATGTTTAGTCCTTGTATAAGTAAAGTATAAGTCTGTTATTCATTTTATTCACCAATTCAAAATATTTTTCATTGCATAAAAGGGTTTGATGCATTTTTCCGTACTGTATGATTGAAATAATTCTTGTGTAATTATTCACACTCAAATCATGATTTGTTGCAGTTACTTAATGTGCAAGCAGACCTGAGCAAATCCCAGACTGAATTAGATGAGAAGAGGTGGGTTTATTTCATGTTTAAAAAAACTTGGTAGTCTACGTATATCATGTTAGGAAAAATCTGGAGTTTTGACACACTAATTAAGCAGGTGATTTCTGAAAGGGTTTTCATTAAATAGTCAATTAACAAAAACTAGGGGTTTTATTTCTTATTTTGTATCATTTATCTTTTCAGGGCAGAGATAGATAATTTAGTGTCAACTCAGAAGGAGCTTGAAACTCAAGTAAAATCTTTGAAAGAAGAGTTATCTGAGGTAACATTTACTAAATAGATTTTTAGTGCAGCATTTTAAGCTTGTGCATGAGTTGGGTATGTTGGCCTTAAATCAACACCTTTCCAAACAGTGAAAAGGATATCTAATAGTTTCAGTCAGATTGGCCTATTTCTTTCTTTCTTAGGTATTTTGTCAGCCTGTATATCCCTCTGTTTGTTTTTTAATGAAGTAATTTATTAAACAATTTCTGTCCTTAGAAAAGCAGCCAGCTGTCCAAAGTGGAGTCGTCTTATATAAGTCTACAAGGAGAACATCAAACACTGCAGAGGAACAGTGAACAGTATAGAACTAAGGTATTTTATGTCTTATTTTGTGTGAAGAGAAGAGTGATTAGAGTTTTGCTTCATTGATATTTCAGCTGACTGTAACTACATATGTTTTATTTTTTATTTGAAAATAGACATTCTTGTCAGTCCTTACATGCTAAATGCTATATTTTGGATTTGTTATGATTGATGTGAATTATATTTTACTTCAATGACACAAGCTCCATGAACTGTTTCAATTTTTTCAGTAGGTCTGATTAAATGTTTTGTCTCTAGGATGTAGGATTAAGAAGAATTATCATTATGATGTTTATTCCAGACAACCAGTCTTCTTGAGGAGAAATCTGAACACATTACTCATCTGGAGGAGAGAACACATATTTTGGAACAGAGGCTGAAAGACGGAGAGCTCTCAGGGGATGAAAGAAGTGCAGCTCTTGAGAAAGAGGTACCAAGAATGAGCTACATATCTGTTTGATAAATTAGATGCTTCTTGCTTGTTGATTGTGTTTGCTTTTGAATGGCTTTGTCTGATTTCAGTGTTAAATGGTTGATAATATTATTGTTATAGATATACTTGTCAGAATTGAACAGAGAAAAGTTTGCAGCTCCTTGATTATTGTGGTTCGCATTGTCTAGGTTACAGATTGAACAATTCTTAAAATCATGGCAATATGGACATGGAAGGGGTGTTTTACCTTGAGATTAATAGAGCTGAAATTTGATTTAACCTTTACAGTAGTTATCACTGTGTACATTTCAGAGAGATAGTTTAGAAGCCAAGTTATCAGAAACCAGGCAGCAGTTGACAGAAGTGAAGTCGGCTTGGAGTGAAAAAATACATCAGTTGGAGCTGCAGGTGGGGATATGCATACACACACAAGCACATGCACACACATGCGCACTGATCTGAAAGATTTTATTCCTTACTTGTATAAAATCTGATTTTGGGTCAGTTATGTCCTAACAAAACATTTTGCTCTGTAACAAGTAAACTCAAATATTTAAAAAGTCATAATAGGCTGTAAGTCTACAAAAATTACTCATTAGATGCCCATGGTCAATGCATATGGTTGCCTGAATTATAACATAATATTATCTGATTCTAAACTTAACAGGTTTCCAACTTAAATGCAAAAATCATAGAAGACAATGAAGAGATTGCTAGCTCCCAGAAGGCCATGACAGAGATGAGGCATAACCTGCACTCACAAATAGAGCAGCTGGAGAAGGCGGCAGATGTGGCCCAGAGCAGGATGACAGAGGCACAGGAGACAGTTAAAGAAAAAGATGCACAGATGGAAAAGGAGGTGATTGCAGAAGTTCAGATTGGTGTTTGGTCTCTCTCTTGGTAATTTTATTATTTTGCAAAATAACTCGTTTTTGGCTGATTGAGTGGTATATTTTGGAGGTGAGAAATATTTTAAATTTGTGCCTTTTGTCAATGTAAATGTCCTTTTTTGGCATTTGGTGATGTATATACAAGAGAGTACATACGGAGAGTATAATATAGTACAAGGCCCATATGAAATTGGAAATCTGTATACAACGGAATGTTAAAAATAAAAAGATGAGCACTGTTCAAAGCCTTCAAAAAGAAGGGAAAAAGACAGACGAAGTGACAAACTACATCATTTTTACACACTGATTATTTTTCTAATAATTGGATGATAGTACCATTGACAAAAGTTTTTTTTTTTTCAGAGAAAACAATTTGAAAGGGAGTTAGCCAAAGGTAAACAAGCTGCCCAGGAAATTGAGATTGAGCTGCGAGCCACTGTCACGTCTTTAGAGAGCCAGGTACAGTCTCTACAGGAAGCAAACCAAGCAGAGAAAGCTCTCACGCAACTTGCACAACAGAAAATTGTAAGTTTTTATGTCTTGTATTACAATCCAAATTAGGGTGAGCATCATTACAGTATTTTAAATGTGTAAATGTGTTGTTAGACATATAAGAAACAATAGTTTTTCTCCTAAACACAAAGGGAATTGCTGTGAAAAAGATGAGAGAATTTGCATTTTAATGCACGGTTGGCAAATCTGAAATGCGTTTGAAGCATTATAATTTTATATAGTTCATTCACTGATGTCTGTTTGTCGCGTCAAGTTGGAATAATGGGACTTGAATACTGCATAGCCATCTGTGGGTTCTATTGAAAATTTGATGAGGAAAATTGAATATTTTTGTTTCAGCTCCACAATTTTATTTCTTGTTTAGCCTGTCAAACACACTAAGCCTCATCTTGGCTTTGTACTCCTCAGAAAACTCCATCTTTTGATTGGTTACAAAGTTCTTGCTCTTGTGCTCAGTCCTGTCTTTGAAACCAGCTGTCCTACCCCCATTGTTATTCTGTTTATCTGATTTGTATGCTCTTCCTTTCTTCTCAGTTGGACGTTCATCAGTTCTGCTATCATTTTCAGCAGTAGTGATCAGGCTGCTGACAACATTTTGGGCATTGTCCGTACTGGTTACCATTTCATCTTCATTATTGCCACAATCTTTGAATGAATGTTCAGGCTCAGTTGAAATAACGACATTTTGTTTTAACTCCAGTTCAACAAGTTCATTCATCTTCTCGTTGTTATCATCGTTGTTATTATTTTCTGGACTATAGATGTCAGCCCTGTGGTTCCTAAACAATGCACGCACTTCTTCAGTGGCTGCATAAAATTCTGCTGACTTCTTAACCTGGCAAAAATTAAAATTAAATAATAATTATAATAATAAATGAATAAATATGAATAAAAATTAATAAATGTAAATGTTGTTCAACATTGGAATGCCTGTGCTAGGAGTCATTTTAACTTTGAATTATGACTCATTATTAAATTTGATGGATCACAGAAATAGTATCAGATAATGTGGACATTGAAATAATTAAACACAGCAGTGTGTGTTTCTCATGTCAGCAGCGTGTGTTTCTCATGTTTATTCATAATCTACATTTTGTCCAGGCCAATACTAGACTGGAAATTAGCCTAGGTGCATCATGGTGGTAATGAGTGTACTCATATTCTCTGTGTTAACTAGCAGTATACTAGGGATGTGTTCTCGCCAGTTTTGTTTTAGTGTGAATGTGTCATCACTGTAGACATAAAACATATCTCACCATATCAAGTATCACATCATCTACCCCAGCCTCCAGGAGCAATTTTACCACTTCTGCATAGCCATTCTTGCTAGCCAGGTGAAGTGCCGTCATGCCACTATACTGGAAATATAGAAATACTGGGTATAATTAAAGGTATACTATACGGGATTTACCAACCACAATGAATTTTCCCAGGGGTAAGTAGAGGGTGGGGAGCTATTTTCTCCCACTCAAGAACCATAATGATTGCTCGACCTGTGCCTGCACGTGGAATAGGAGTTTTAGGCATCGTTCACATGAAAAATCCAAATGCCAAAAATCCATTGGCAGTATCTAGTGATCATGGTCTGTGCCCTGAATACCCTGCGCCGTAATTAACTAGCAGAGCGAGCGAGTTACTTCCAAAGCTATAATTGAATCTCGGTTGCGCTCGGAGGAGATTCTGACACCTCTGCCTTATTCCATTTTTAATGTAATGATTTTGTTCTAAAAATAACTGGTCATTTATTTAGAACACCATGTCTTCATGTACATTTCAGAGGGGACTATCCATGTCGGGTACTTTATTTGAGGCAGTTAACTAAGACTTTGGAAACTTTTCACATGTATACAGTATATTTTTAACCCTTATGGAGAGAAATAGAAAGTCCAATGTCAGCCTGCTACGTGTATGTCATGTGAAGTGACTAAAGTTGAGGCAAGGTGTTGAGGATGGGGGTTATAATTACTGAACATGTTGGTCTCATCTGATAATATATCTGATAGTATATTTTTATTGATGAAAAATTATTGACAAAAACCATTGTAAAGAAGATTTAATCTTAATTTTTAACACGCACCTGATTACATAATTACATTGTTATTATCTATTTTCATTGGTGCCAATTTTCAAATCAGCTTAAAAGATAGTGACAAATAAAAGATATCTTAAAATTGCTGAAAAATTGAATACGAGGCAATCACAGTGATATTTACCAGTGTAGTTTCCTTCCGTTTGCAGTTATTGTCCAGTAGCAGTTTGACCACAGTGTGGTGTCCATGGCTACTTGATAGGTGGAGAGCATTTTGGCCATTCTGAAATGACAAGTTTCTTTTAAACTTATAGGACTCAAAAAATATCATGTTAGAAATAGCTAAGTGCAGTGTTGGTGTAAAACAGAACAGAAAACCTGTAATGTTATTAAGTTTTTGCAGCATTTCAATAAGAGAGGAGGAAGGTGTAACTGATCAAATTACTATTTTGAGACTTATGCTATTTATTGTTATTTATTGTATTGGATTGGAAGGGGTTGGATTAGATTCCTAACATTACCAGTAGGCTAAATTAATGTTTTGTTGTTTACTGGTTTATTTTACATATAGTAATAAAAGAATCTTTTTGAAATTAAAAAAATGGAAATAAGGAACCCTTTACCTTGTTGATGGCATTGATATCTGCCTGTCTGTTTAGTAGAGTTAACCCTATATTGTAATGGCCGCCTGAGGCTGCATAGTGTAGGGGAGTGTTGCCATGCTGTAACAGGTGACACATTATAAACACATGTCATCATCAACTGACACGCACTTGAGTCAATGTACAATGAGTAATCATATAGAAAAACACATTGTTATCCAAATTAGGTGTATACAAATACAAAAGAAACCTAGCTGTTTGAAGAGAAAAAAAAAGATACTAACTTGGTCAGAACAGTTTGGGTTTACTCCAGACTCCAAAAGCTGTGTGACTCTGGCCATGTCTCCAAGTCTGCAGGCATCTGTGAGTCTCCAGTCATCCCCTGTGTGATAGTCTGGAGGGACTCCTGCAGGGATGTAGTATGTCTGGAATATGAATGGAAATGTATATCATACCATAGATATAATCAAAATTGTACTTAAAAGCGTTGAAGGTTTCTTAAAAGTCCTTACACAGATTGCTAGTGGAAAGAACATATACTGTGATTTCTGTTTTCAAAAGCACAAAATATTTACTCCGTGTTATTGAGGCAAATTCCGTAGGCTAAAAGATGATAAAACTTTTTTGTTTGATGATTTCTTTCTAGTTTATCACTGATATGGTGAAGTGATTGTCTAGGTATTTACTTTTTTAATGTGGTAATATGAATCTAGCATTTTTTAAACCAGTGGATCAAATCAATGCTTTTAAATACTTTATCGTGTGGCTTAGGTCACAAAATTATACTTCTAAATCCTCCTCAATTGTGTGGCTTAGGTAACAAAATTATAATTCAAAATCCTCCCCAATCGTACAAAGAGAAAAAAAATCGTGTAAGAAAATTAGAACAAATTGAAAATCTTACCATGTTGGCGAGTTCCCTGCCAGATTCTTCCTGTGCCTGTATTTGAACATCAGTAGGACGCCACCTCTCCAAGTAAACTATAACTCCCATTTGTGTGTTATCAGCAGGTCAGATGTCAAGTATTGCCTGCACGAAATAAAAGCTTGTCTATTATTTTCAGCAATTTATTTTCTCGGCTTGACAACTGCGGGCAAACATTGCAATTTGGTCACAGGTTGGGGTGATCTTGCCAATTATTGGATGGCTTCCACACGAGGTGTGGGGTCCATGTTCAGGGCCTGAAGTATTGAAAAGGGGCCCTGATGTATAAATCATTAAAATTTTTATAGTGGGAGATATTCTTAAATTATCAGTTAAAGTTTTAGTAAAATAAAACTTTGATTTAGAAGGATTTGATTAAGCTTGGTAATGTGTGGATAGAAATTCTTTTGGGATTCAATATTGCTTTGGAGCAAAATTACTGTTTGGAGTATTTTTGTAATCTATCTCTATTTCTCCCAGGTTAATCACGTCTTCATTGTGGATTGAAAGGCTTAGGGCATTACTGTATTAGTTCAGAATGTTTGTTAAGATATCAGTTTTACCGATAAGAAGATTAAAATCGGAGAGCATTAGTTCTGTTTTTAAAGAAGAAAAAATGTGTGTCTTGTTTTAAATAAGTGTGCCTTGAAGCAGTTAAGAACTGAAAAAAAACTTGCTCCAAAGAGATCAATATAACCTAAAATGTTGATATCTGAGATGGAAATAATCATACTAAGTGCTGGGCAGTATCAGATACAGGGGTGGTAACCATTTTTTATGACAAAAATGGAAAAATAAGCCACCTACTAGTCAAATTGCTAGTATGAGAAAAAATATATAATTTACATGTACACTAGGTTCATTCTTGTTTATGAAAGTTTCAACAAAAAATTAATGTTTTGTGTTAAATGATTATAAATATTCTCTTATGAAAATATAACTGACACCAAGAGGTCATATTTATCATATATGGGAAATGTGAATAAGTTTGTTTGGAATCCTGCAATGTTATGAATTGACCAGTGTCAGACATTTGTTAAAATTACAATGTATTGTGTGTTGACTTAAGAATTGTACTACTAAGTTCATTCAAGGCCACTTTGGTACAGACTTTTATTATATCTCTTTGTTTAATGTGTGATTTTGCATTTAATATGATAATTAGACTCTAATCATACTGGTATTTGCATGTCATTCTTAAATATGTTGATTTGTTTATCTGACTAATGTTTGTTTGTAAGTTAGCCAGGTAAACATGCAATTGTAAGCTATGTAAACAAATGGGTTTACTTTGTTTTCATACTGCTAATTTTCCCCTCAATGGCAATTCAATTATACCTGTAGCTAAGGAATATATATTTTCTGCATACAAATGATAGAAATTTCCATTACTTAATGATATGTGTGAATGTTCTTTTATTTGATTTAAAAATTATAAGAACACCTGACTATTTGACTAATTGCTTAACTCAGGCTTATAACCAAGTGTTGTTGTTTTAATATCTCTTTATTATTTGAATAGTTATGTATTGGGAGTATTTACTATCCATAACGGTTGGAAACTATTCCTTATATCGGTAGAAGTTGCAGTTATATACTTTTTAGATTTGGGTGCTTTTGAGAGGTTAGATTATACAAAATAAAGTGAAAATGTTTTCAGAAAAACCATGCAATGTTTTTTTCCTCCATTTTTTTTTTTTTTTTTTTTTAGATATTTATAATGGCAGCATTGGTTATTTTTAAAAATGATATATATTGACACTGGAATTGAAACTTGCTCCTGTCTCAAAAAACCTGATGTGCTTATTTCATAATTCTCAATTTATATTTTCAGAATCAGCTACAAGCAAAACAAGATGAAACACTGGAGAAAGATTTGGAGACAGAGAAACAAATTACTATTTTAGAAGATGAAAAACAGGCCCTACAGGTAATAATTTTATTCAAAAGGCTATCAACACTGAGGCAGTGACCTTTGTACACGTGACATAGACATATGTGGACAATGCGTCACTAATGATTTAAGCAAGGTGACACAACCAATGCACCTGTTATTACATTAGACATTTTTTTCCAAAAGAAAATGGTAATTTATGTATACTTTTAAAGAGCAATGAATGTTGCATAAAGCTTTCGTTAAGTCACATATTTTAATTATATACGAGGTGAAAAGTAAACTTAGCTAAAACAACAAATACACTGAAGCCACTCATCATGAACAGTAAGTAAAACAAGCCAGGCTACATATGTATGTATTCTGAATATCATGTTGTTTACTTTTTAGAAAATGTTATCAGAAAAGTCTTCAGAATGTGAGAAACTGAACCAGCAGGTGAAGGCAATGAGCTCNAGCTTTGCTGCCTTGTTAGTCAGTTATGTCCTAACAAAACAAAGCTCTGTAACAAGTACACTCAAATGTTTAAAAAGTCATAATAGGCTGTTAGCCTATGAAAATAGCTCTTTGATGCCCATGGTCAATGCATATGCCCTTGGTTGCCTGAATTATAACATAATATTATCTGATTCTAAACTTAACAGGTTTCCAACTTAAATGCAAAAATCATAGAAGACAATGAAGAGATTGCTAGCTCCCAGAAGGCCATGACAGAGATGAGGCATAACCTGCACTCACAAATAGAGCAGCTGGAGAAGGCGGCAGATGTGGCCCAGAGCAGGATGACAGAGGCACAGGAGACAGTTAAAGAAAAAGATGCACAGATGGAAAAGGAGGTGATTGCAGAAGTTCAGATAGGTGTTTGGTCTCTCTCGTGGTAATTTATTATTTTGCAAAATAACTCTTTTTTTGGCTGATTGAGTGGTATATTTTGGAGGTGAGAAATGTTTTCATGTCTTTTGTCAATGTAAATGTCCTTTTTTGGCATTTGGTGATGTATATACAAGAGAGTATATACGGAGAGTATAATATTGTACAAGGCCCATGTGAAATTGGAAATCTGTATACAATGGAATGTTAAAAATAAAAAGATGAGCACTGTTCAAAGCCTTCAAAAAGAAGGGAAAAAGACAGACGAAGTGACAAACTACATCATTTCTACACACTGATTATTTTTCTAATAATTGGATGATAGTACCATTGACAAAAGTTTTGTTTTTTTTTCAGAGAAAACAATTTGAGAGGGAGTTAGCCAAAGGTAAACAAGCTGCCCAGGAAATTGAGATCGAGCTGCGAGCCACTGTCACGTCTTTAGAGAGCCAGGTTCAGTCTCTACAGGAGGCAAACCAAGCAGAGAAAGCTCTCACGCAACTTGCACAACAGAAAATTGTAAGTTTTTATGTCTTGTATTACAATCCAAATTAGGGTGAGCATCATAACAGTATTTTAAATGTGTAAATGTGTTGTTATACATATAAGAAACAATAGCTTTTCTCCTAAACACAAAGGGAATTGCTGTGAAAAAGAGGAGAGAATTTGCATTTTAATGCACGGTTGGCAAATCTGAAATGCGTTTGAAGCATTATAATTTTATATAGTTCATTCACTGATGTCTGTTTGTCGCGTCAATTTGGAATAATGGGACTTGAATACTGCATAGCCATCTGTGGGTTCTGTTGAAAATTTGATGAGGAAAATTGAATATTTTTGTTTAAGCTCCACAATTTTATTTCTTGTTTAGCCTGTCAAACACACTAAGCCTCATCTTGGCTTTGTACTCCTCAGAAAACTCCATCTTTTGATTAGTTACAAAGTTCTTGCTCTTGTGCTCAGTCCTGTCTTTGAAACCAGCTGTCCTACCCCCATTGTTTTTCTGTTTATCTGATTTGTATGCTCTTTCTTTCTTCTCAGTTGGACGTTCATCAGTTCTGCTATCATTTTCAGCAGTAGTGATCAGGCTGCTGACAACATTTTGGGCATTGTCTGTACTGGTTACCATTTCATCTTCATTATTGCCATAATCTTTCAATGAATGTTCAGGCTCAGTTGAAATAATTACATTCTGTTTTAACTCCAGTTCAACAAGTTTATTCTCCTTCTTGTTGTTATCATTTTCTGGACTATAGATGTCAGCCCTGTGGTTCCTAAACAATGCACGCACTTCTTCAGTGGCTGCATAAAATTCTGCTGACTTCTTAACCTGGCAAAAATAAAAATTAAATAATAATTAAAATAATAAATGAATAAATACAAATAAAAATTAATAAATGTAAATCTTGTTCAACATTAGAAAGCCTGTTCTAGGAGTGTTTCACACAGAGTCACTTAACTTTGAATTATGACTCATTATTAAATTTGATGGATCACAGAAATAGTATCATATAATGTGGACATTAAAATAATTAAACACAGCAGTGTGTGTTTCTCATGTCAGCAGCGTGTGTTTGTCATGTTTATTCATAATCTACATTTAGTCCAGGCCAATACTAGACTGGAAATTAGCCTCGGTGCATCATGGTGGTAATGAGTGTACTCATATTCTCTGTGTTAACTAGCAGTCTAGGGATGTGTTCTCGCCAGTTTTGTTTTAGTGTGAATGTGTCATCACTGTAGACACAAAACATATATCTCACCATATCAAGTATCACATCATCTACCCCAGCCTCCAAGAGCAATTTTACCACTTCTGCATGGCCATTCTTGCTAGCCAGGTGAAGTGCTGTCATGCCACTATACTGGAAATATAGAAATACTGAGTGAAATTAAAGGTATACTATATAGGATTTACCGACCACAATGAATTTTCCCAGGGGTAAGTTGAGGGTGGGGAGCTATTTTCTACTTCTCAAGAATCATTGCTCGACCCATCCCTGCATGTGGAATAGGTGTTTTATTCCATTTTTAATGGAATGATTTTGTTCTAGAAGTAACTGGTTAGCCATTTAGAATACCATGTCTTCATGGTCTTCATGTACATTTCAGAGGGGACTATCCATGTCAGGTACTTTATTTGAGGCAGTTCACTGAGACTTTGAGAAATTTCCAAATGTATACAGTACACTTTTATCCCTTATGGAGAGAAATTAAAAGTCAACTGCCAGCCTGTTACATTTTCAGTTACATGTGAAATTACTTAAGTTCTGGAGAAGTGTTGGATATGGGGGTTATAATTACTGAGCACATTGGCCTCGTCTGATAGTATATTATTATTGATGAAGAATTATTGATAAATACCATAGCAAAGACAATTTATAGTCTTATTTTTTAACACGTACCTGATTATATATTTATATTGTCATTGTCTATTTTTATTGGTGCCAATTTTAAAATCAGTTTTAAAGTAAGTGACAAATAAAAGATATCTTAAAATTGCTGAAAAATTGAATACTAGGCAATCACAGTGATATTTACCAGTGTAGTTTCCTTTCGTTTGCAGTTGTTGTCCAGTAGCAGTTTGACCACAGTGTGGTGTCCATGGCTACTTGATAGGTGGAGGGCATTTTGGCCATTCTGAAATGACAAGTTTCTTTTAAACTTATAGGACTCCAAAATATCATGTTAGAAATAGCTAAATGCAGTGTTGGTGTAAAACAGAACAGAAAACCTGTAATGTTATTAAGTTATTGCAGCATTTCAATAAGAGAGGAGGAAGGTGTAACTGATCAAATTACTATTTTGAGACTTATACTATTTATTGTTATTTATTGTATTGGATTGGAAGGGGTTGGATTAGATTCCTAACATTACCAGTAGGCTAAATTAATGTTTTGTTATTTACTGGTTTATTTTACATCAAGTAATAAAGGAACCTTTTTGAAATTAAAAAAATGGAAATAAGGAACCCTTTACCTTGTTGATGGCATTGATATCTGCCTGTCTGTCTAGTAGTGTTAACCCTATATTGTAATGGCCGCCTGAGGCTGCATAGTGTAGGGGAGTGTTGCCATGCTGTAACAGGCGACACATTATAAACACATGTCATCATCAACTGACACACACTTGAGTCAATGTACAATAAGTAATCATATAGAAAAACACATTGTTATCCAAATTAGGTGTATACAAATACAAAAGAAACCTAGCTGTTTGAAGAGAAAAAAAAAAGATACTAACTTGGTCAGAACAGTTTGGGTTTACTCCAGACTCCAAAAGCTGTGTGACTCTGGCCATGTCTCCTAGTCTGCAGGCATCTGTGAGTCTCCAGTCATCCCCTGTGTGATAGTCTGGAGGGACACCTGCAGGGATGTAGTATGTCTGGAATATGAATGGAAATGTATATCATACCATAGATGATCAAAATTATACTTAAAGTGTTGAAGGTTTCTTAAAAGTCCTTACACAGATTGCTAGTGGAAAGAACAGTCATATACTATGATTTTTGTTTTCAAAAGCACAAAATATTTACTTTTTGGTTTGATGATTTCTTTCCAGTTTATCACTGATTTGGTGAAATGATTGTCTGGGTATTTACTTTTTTAATGTGGTAATATGAATCTAGCATTTTTTCAACCAGTGGATCAAATCAATGCTTTTAAATACTTTATCGTGTGGCTTAGGTCACAAAATTATACTTCTAAATCCTCCTCAATTGTGTGGCTTAGGTAACAAAATTGTAATTCAAAATCCTCCCAAAACGCACAAAGAGAAAAATTGTGTAAGAAAATTAGAACAAATTGAAAATCTTACCATGTTGGCGAGTTCTGTGCCAGATTCTTCCTGTGCCTGTATTTGAACATCAGTAGGACGCCACCTCTCCAAGTAAACTATAACTCCCATTTGTGTGTTATCAGCAGGTCAGATGTCAAGTATTGCCTGCACGAAATAAAAGCTTGTCTATTCTTTTCAGCAATTTATTTTCTCGGCTTGACAACTGCGGGCAAACATTGCAATTTGGTCACACGTTGGGGTGATCTTGCCAATTATTGGATGGCTTGCACACGAGGTGTGGGGTCCATGTTCAGGGCCTGAAGTATTGAAAAGGGGCCCTGATGTATAAATTGTTTGACATTGGAGAATTGATTAAACTCTCAGATGTATCCTATAATAGCCTGGATTTGTAAATTGTGTTTGTGATGGGGTGAACCATCTCATTTGTATTAACTACAATGTATAGAATCTATTTGCATCTGCAAAAATAACCATTGTTTTAAGATATAGTATAATGTTTAAAAAATTGCAGATTCTCTTGCCTATTTATATTATAAATTAAAGTTATTTTAAACATTAAAATTTTTATGGTATGAGATATTCTTGAATTATCAGTTAATTAAGTTTTAGTCAACCAAAAAAAAAAAAAAGAAAAAAAAAACTTGGATGGATTTGATTAAGATTTGGTAGTGTGTGGATAGAAATTCTATTGGAATTCAAACATTGCTTTGGAGCAGAATTACTGTTTGGAGTATTTTTGTAATCTATCTCTATTTCTCCCAGGTTAATCACGTCTTCATTGTGGATTGAAAGGCTTAGGGCATTACTGTATTAGTTCAGAATGTTTGTTAAGATATCAGTTTCAGCGATAAGAAGATTAAATCGGAGAGCATTAGCTCTGTTTTTAAAGAAGAAAAAAATGTGTCTTGTTTTAAGAAAGTGTGCCTTGAAGCAGTTAAGAACTGAAAAAAACTTGCTCCAAAGAGATCAATAACCCAAAATGTTGATATCTGAGATGGAAATAATCATACTCAGTGCTGGTCAGTATCAGATACAGGGGTGGTAACCATTTTTTATGACAAAAATAAAAAATAAGCCACCTACTAATCAAATTGCTAGTATGAGAAAAAATATATAATTTACATGTACACTAGGTCCATTCTTGTTTATGAACAATTCAACAAAAATTAATGTTTTGTGTTAAATGATTATAAATATTCTCTTCTGAAAATATAACTGACACCAAGAGGTCATATGTATCATATATGGGAAATGTGGATAAGTTTGTTTGGAATCTTGCAATGTTATAAATTGACCACTGTTAGACATTTGTTAAAATTACAATGTATTGTGTGTTGACTTAAGAATTGCACTACTAAGTTCATTTAAGGCCACTTTAGTACAGACTTTTATTATTTCTCTTTGTTTAATGTGTGATTTTGCATTTAATATGATAATTAGACTCTAATCATACTGGTATTTGCATGTCATTCTTAAATATGTTGATTTGTTTATCTGACTAATGTTTGTTTGTAAGTTAGCCAGGTAAACATGCAATTGTAAGCTATGTAAACAAATGGGTTTACTTTGTTTTCATACTGCTAATTTTCCCCTCAATGGCAATTCAATTATACCTGTAGCTAAGGAATATATATTTTCTGCATACAAATGATAGAAATTTCCATTACTTAATGATATGTGTGAATGTTCTTTTATTTGATTTAAAAATTATAAGAACACCTGACTATTTGACTAATTGCTTAACTCAGGCTTATAACCAAGTGTTGTTGTTTTAATATCTCTTTATTATTTGAATAGTTATGTATTTGGAGTATTTACTATCCATAACGGTTGGAAACTATTCCTTATATCGGTAGAAGTTGCAGTTATATACTTTTTAGATTTGGGTGTTTTTGAGAGGTTAGATTATACAAAATAAAGTGAAAATGTTTTCAGAAAAACCATGCAATGTTTTTTTCCTCCATTTTTTTTTTTTTTTTTTTTTTTTTTAGATATTTATAATGGCAGCATTGGTTATTTTTAAAAATGATATATATTGACACCTGAATTGAAACTTGCTCCTGTCTCAAAAAACCTGATGTGCTTATTTCATAATTCTCAATTTATATTTTCAGAATCAGCTAGAAGCAAAACAAGATGAAACACTGGAGAAAGATTTGGAGACAGAGAAACAAATTACTATTTTAGAAGATGAAAAACAGGCCCTACAGGTAATAATTTTATTCAAAAGGCTATCAACACTGAGGCAGTGACCTTTGTACACTTGACATAGACATATGTGGACAATGTGTCACTAATGATTTAAGCAAGGTGACACAACCAATGCACCTGTTATTACATTAGACATTTTTTTCCAAAAGAAAATGGTAATTTATGTATACTTTTAAAGAGCAATGAATGTTGCATAAAGCTTTCGTTAAGTCACATATTTTAATTATATACGAGGTGAAAAGTAAACTTAGCTAAAACAACAAATACACTGAAGCCACTCATCATGAACAGTAAGTAAAACAAGCCAGGCTACATATGTATGTATTCTGAATATCATGTTGTTTACTTTTTAGAAAATGTTATCAGAAAAGTCTTCAGAATGTGAGAAACTGAACCAGCAGGTGAAGGCAATGAGCTTAGAACTACAGGAGTTGCAGGACAAGGTGTGTTTAATACAGTCATAGGCATCCAGATAGTTTTATTTGAACAATTGCTTCACAGTTGTAGTAGGCATAGACAGGAGAAATGGTTAGAATGCAGACATGTAAGGCCATATTAACAGAATATGGCTTACTGAGACTACACATTATTATGACATATGCAAAATAGTAAAAAGAAATAAACTTAACGTAAATTGTGAATTGATACAGGTAAACAGCATGATGGAATCCTTCTGCCTTTTCTCTGTGAGGCCTGCTTGGCATGTAATGATATATGTATTCCACATAATATTTCTTGTTTAAAATCTTGATCATTAGTAAGTAAAAGCATCAGTGATCACGGAGTCTTAAACCCTGTAGTTCAGTCCATTTTTCATTCTAATGGATTTTTTTTATTACACACTATTACACACTGTTTCAGTTGTCTGGTCTTCAGAATGACTCCCACTCAAGTAATGAAAAGACTGAAAAATTAGAGAAGAATTTAAAAAGTAGACAGGCAGAACTGCAAGAGTGTAAAAGTGGTAGGTAGTAATATAGTTGTATTGTTTGTAAAGTTTACACAAAAAAATGTTTCACAAGTTCTGATATTTATCTATGATTTTTAATTTTGATAAATAGTTACATGTATTTGGAAAAAATGCAAATGTTACAATAAAAGATGTATATTTTATTTGACAATTGCAGAAAAAGATGCACTGTTGCTGCGTAATGCTGAATTATCTCAGCAGATGGAGTCAGTGAGGCGGTCTATGCAAGAGGAGCTTCAAAAATCAAACAGGGAACTTCAGGAACAAAAGGAAGAGGTTCTGAGGTTACAAAGTCAGGTATAATTCTGATTTATGACCACTTGAGAAATAATTGCTTTGTCATATTAAAGCTTGCTTCATCATATTAAAAATATAAACTCTTATTTCCAAACTGAATATTACTCAAAATTTAACTTATTGTGGTAGCTTGAATGAATTTTGACTCAATTGTCAATTTTTTTATATACTTATGCTTACTTGAAATGAATTAAACAAGTGAAATGGGAAACATCATAGAGAACCTTATAGAGGCCTTCACCAGTGTATGTCATCATACAAGACTAGAAAACATGTAAGAATCTATGCCTAAAAAATGCCTTCTAAAAAGCAGAACAAATGTGACATCAAAAAAGGCCAATAAGTTCTGTTGTCCAAACAACTGTGATTTGACAGAACTCAAGAAAAAAAAACAACTAGTAAAATAACTGAAGATATATTTTGTTGGTTTCATTGTCGCACTGCTCTCACTAGTCTGCTATTATACATGTACTTGACCCCACTCTCACCCAAATTCCACAAAATCTGACTTGATTTTATGTTAAGTCATGAGACTTTGGTCTAACTTGGATCATTTCCATTCTGATACCGAAAAATATGATGTCTGTGTATACTCAGCCTGATCACATTATGTATGCTATTTCCAGGTCCAGCAAGTAGAAACCCAGAACTTAGATAACAGTAAAGTTGCAGTGACAGAGGAGACCAATAGACTCAACCTGGTTGTCAAAGACTTGGAGGAGCAAATATCAGAGAAAAATAAGGTAGAATTTTTTGCAGTATATATGTTAAGCAATATGATGGTGGCTTTGTTTCAGTTCTTATATTTCAGTATTCATGTTGCTCTGTTCATATGCTACATGTTTTCATGTTTGATAAATAATTTAAATAATTTCATGTTTAAAAATCTTTTCAGCACAGGACTTAAATGAAACAACTTAATGACTATAATTCTTTCTATTCTTTTTATTATATGTTCTTTGGATCCCATTCCAGACAATAAAGATGCAACAACAGAGGCTAGCAGACCTGAAAAAGACATTACAAAGAGAGCTGAGGGTTCAAGCCTTGCCCAATGATGAACCTGTCGTGTTAAGAGACAATAGAGACACTGTTCCCACCAATGGGCCGAGCAGTAAAACTGCAACTTTACAGACAGAAAGTCGAACTGTATCTGCTGCAGTGGCACCTGTTGTGCAAACCCAACAAAATAACATGACACATGCTGTGCAATGGAGAAAACCAGATGAACTATCAGAGGTTAACTTCCGATATCTGAAACACGTGGTGCTAAAATTTATGCTTAGTAGAGAATCTGAGGTAAGATATCTTGCTGGATATCATGGACTATGCTTTTTTTGTGTGTCCATGTTTGATCTAAGAGTACCTGCCTCAATATTTGTCTGCATCACATATAATTGCTTGGTTTTTATTGCAACAATTGTGCAAAGTGTTAATGGTAAATGAACTGAATGGTAGATAGTTAAAAAGGCTAGATGATCAGCAGCTTTGCTATAATTAAATAGCACAGTCAGGCTTCGTTCACATGGAAAGTCTATTTTCTAAAAATCTATTTTCTATTCGCGGTATATCTTGTGATCACGGTCTGTGCCCTGAATATCCCAAGGCGTAATTACTGGCAGCGCGAGCCAGTTACTTCCAAAGCTGTAATTAATTCTCTGCTGTGCTCGGAGGAGATTCTGATACCTTGACGCATGCGCAGTAGGAAGTTAGAAAGTTAAAAATGTGTTTGTCGATTTTGTGCAACAACAAGACGAAGAAGATGAAGAAGCTATACACACGACAGATACGAGTGCAACTGTCATGATCCAATGGCAAGCGGTGCGGCAACGGGGGATGAGATTTTATAGAATGTGAGCACAGCCGAGAATTAATTACAGCTTTGTATAAGAAACTGGCTCACGCTGCCAGTAATTACGCCGCGGGATATTCAGGGCACAGACCGTGATCATAAGATACCGCGAATAGAAAATATATTTTTAGAAAATAGACTTTCCATGTGAACGAAGCCTTACAAGTTATGAAAAACATGCCCTGAAGAATTTAAAGAAATTTGTAAACGCACATTTTTATCTACTCCAACAACGTCTTATTTATTCCATTTTGATTCATTCTTCAATCATATTCTTTTTCAGGCTGTGCATTTAATCCGTGCTGTCGGGACATTACTTAGGTTCTCGGAGGAGGAACAGAAACTGCTCAAGCAAACTTTAGAATACAAAATGTCCTGGTTTGGATCACCACCCAAACTTGGCAAAGGACAGCTTGCCAAAACCATCCCTCCTACCTTCTGATTTGTTGACCAAATGGCTGTGCTCAATTCAAAGTCTCAAGACTGTCTGACAGATTTTTCCAGAATACCATTTGCCTGACAGATTTTTCCAGAATACCATTCCTCTTTTACCGTCTGATGGAACTGCATTGCTGTTGTTTCTCAACACCAGACCAAAACTGATGGCAGTTTCTGGATCAACATCATTGACCATTTCTAGATTGCTGTCGCCTTACCCATCAAGTCAAGTTGCCATGCTGCTGTTTCTTATTGACAGATTGCAATTGTTGGTTGTTTGCTGGTCAGCTTTTTATGGGTCACTTTCATCTAAACCTGGATTTAAGCTGGGCTGAATCCTGGTTAAAATCCACAACATGGTACAATGTTATTATTTGGCACATTTGAAGTTAAAACCAGATAAAGATCAGACCAAGATTCAGTATATAATGTGGAATATGTACTTATTTTTTATGTGCAACACTGAATTGCCAATACTTTATGATGTCATTTCTGACTGAGAGGGATACACATGTAAGGCTGACTTCAATCAAATTTTTTATTGTTATCAGACTGGCATTGCTCTGTTCCTAGAACAATTTAGATGGTGTAATTATGTTGTCTCATACTACGTGTTAGCATATTACTTGAATGTTAAAAAACCTCCCAAACCTTCCATGTTATGTTTAGGTGAGAAAATTTGCCCAAGTTTAAAAGGAAAACTTAGCTTTACTCAGCTGATAATGTAATGAGTTGCACCTAATATCCACATCCCTGTGATATTTTGAGATCATTTAAATTTTTTTAATGAAATATAATTTGTTATGGTACGCGGATAATTTCCATTCATGATAAGCAAGTGAATGTGATGTGTTGCAAATCGTGAAATCAACTAAAGATGCCGACAGAGTATTAAGTTGAGAAAAACATATTACAATACGTTTTTGGCATTAGAAGGATAAACCTTATTTTTATGTTGAGTGCTTTCCATGGAGAACAAGTATACATACCAGTCAGGCCACATATTGTAACAAAAAGTCATTAGAAAGATATATATATATATATATGATAAAAAAGAAATAAAGAACAGCAGTTATTTTGTCCCGACAGGTTTCATTACATCAGTAAACATACACTGTATGTGCAACAACATGGTCTTGTGTGTACCATTTATTCTCAGGTACCTCATGAAATTGTGTGATGCATTTGAAAATATGAACAATATGGATATGTACAAATGCATTTTTCATAAAATGGAACATAATCTATATTATAGGATATTGTTAAAATTATCATAGAGTACGATCTTATATTTAGGAATGTGAGATATGATAAATTTAAACTTGATATTAGCCAACAATGTTGTCATCAGATGCAAAATTGACAGTTGATTAAATTGCTGATTTTTACTACAAAGATAACATTATCAATTGATGTGCAGCCCTCTGAAAAGTGATGTTGGCCACACCTTGGTATCACTTCTCCAAGATTTGAAAATACATATTGACCTCGGCCAAAGTCAAATACAGTTCCCTATATTGATAGTTTTTATGTGTTTTGACCTAAAAAATGAGACAAATTAAGTAAAACGCTGTTGATAAGTGACAGTAGGGAAACAGACAAGCCCATTGCAAGAAATATTTTTGTGGAATGGTCCTGAAATGACAGCATTATAAACTAGATTTTGATTATCATTCACACATTTTAAACTACATTCTTAATCCAAAAATTTGTTTTCCAGCTTCAGTCATTATAACTTGAAAAATTATGATCCCAGGATTAACTTTACTCTTCAGGACATCACTTGCAGTTATTTTAAAAACAGCTGTTTTGGTTAATTATAATTGAATTTTATTGAATACTTTGACTGTAGTTTGTCACATAAGCTTAAGGGATAATAACTCTTCATATGAGATTTATATTTCACAATAAAAACATTGTGAATAACTCACAGAAATATAATATATTCTGTTTTACCACAAAAATGGCAGTTATAGTTATTATTCTGATATCTGAGCTTGTCTTCAGACCGCATGACCTCCATTGAAGGCTATACTCTGTTATAATCTCTTAAGAGATTTTAACAAAAAACCAAACTTTTTAGAAAAAAACCAGGTACTAACTTTGAATGTAAAAATGGATTCATTAACCATTGGTAAGTATGGGAAAATTGCAGTTTACTCCAGGAAAATTCATTTTTTTTGGCCAAAACGAAGAGTTATTATCCCTTTAAGATAGTCAATGCAGTGATGTTAGCAACAGACAACTAAAGCAAATGTGTAAACAGACCCAATGAACTTGTAGCCATTTTAAAAATTATTTATTTGAGGGAATAAATGGAAATCATAAAACATGCACTTGACATGCAGTTTCAACATATTCTTTCATTCCATAATAACATCTACAAATAAGCAATTTGATGTCAACTTTGTTACTGGGTAGATACAATATAAAGGTAAAGTAATCTCAAAGTAGACCAGATCCAATGCGTGAGTTTACCAGAAAGTCAGAAAACTAAAAGAAAAAATAATTGTCTTATTTACCTATTGCACCTATATGTGTTAAAGACTTCATCTGACAAAAGAGCTTGGAATGTATTCTACTTCTGATAAATTGTGAAATGTGGAATGATAGAAGAGAAAGAACATTGGAAAAACCTGATCTCTAAGTTAAGGCTTAATTAAAAAAAAACTGCTAGATAGTTATCCTTCGTATTCTTATCTCTTTCAAAGTACACTTTAGCCTGAGTTTGGAACCCAATTCTTACCATTAGAAATATCAGTTGTATTCAACTGTACATGTTCAACTTACTCTGGTCTCATATTGATTTATACAGTACACAGTGCTACTTGATTTGAATGTAACATATAAATTCATCATTACAGTAAAATATGTATATGTGAACCTTTTCTTCTTATGCTATAACTGAATTTCTATTTAATATTAAATGGTAATGTTGTGATACACATAGCATGTGTATATAATGTATTAAAAAGAAAGGCCATAACTTCCAATTCCTTTTCATTTGCATTAACTGGTCATCTTGAGAAGAAAGCTGAGATCTGCACCAGGTGAGTACTGCACGGAATCTTCACCTCTGAAATTAAATTCCAAGGTTTGCCTAATATACGATACCTACATGTGCAGCCAACCCAATTTAACTAAACAGAAACTGCTAGGATAATCTGTAGATTATTGTGCTGCTAAGTCAATCCTTACCTGTATCAAAGAATGAATCATGAACATGTCATTTCTATAATAGTGCTCTTTTCTGAAACTTCTCTGCCCTTACCTTGTAAACAGCCTTGCTCCAGTCTCTCCTTGAAGAACAGCCTTATCTCCTTCCACTAGTAACATGCAGCCTTCACGCAAACCCTAAAGAAAGAATATCAGCACAGTTGAAGAGTGAACTGAGCCCATTTAATCTTGAAAATGAAATCATTTATTTTAATTCTTAAAAGAATGAAACTATGAATTGTACAGCTTATGTGATTTTATGAATCGTCTCTTAAAATCACATATTTTTATATAATATTTTGTTTTTCTTTGGAGTACATAATGCATAAAAATAGTGAAATGTTGAACATGTCAAAATAATGAAACAGTCATTTAACAGTAGCAAAAATAAATAAATTAATTAATTAATTAAATTATTTATTAATAAGAGTTGATGCGAAGTCTGCTTTGCAAAGTATGAAATTGTGTAAAAGTCGGAGGTCTTACAAAACTATGTGTTTGTTGTGTCCATAGAGACCAAATCACACAGTACTTGCTGATATTTTTTAGTGCACTGGTACATGTGCATCTATAAAAAATCTACTAACCAACACCGGTGGTGTATTGTCAACCTCGTGATACTCCAGGATTCTTTGTTCTCTGGTTTCCCCCTTGTGTGTGCTAGTGGGATCAGCATCCACATAGTGAACATTGATATTGAAAGGCACCAGATTTAGGGCATTAAAGGAGGGTGGATACACGATGGGCATGTCATTGGTTGTGTTGATGCTGCAAGTTCCTACATTAGAGCCTGCACTGGTGCCTATGTATGGAATGCCATCCTAATTACAATAAGATAATATAAATATGGTGCAAATATAAAGAGATAAATTTTTTAAAAATTATTCTTGGTGCCTAGATAACGATGAGTTAAATGAGATATTTTGTGTGTGAGTCTAGCCTAAACAAAGGCATAATGAAAGTGATTTAGAGAAATACTTTTATCTGAGTCTTAAGACAAGCCGTCTTGCTACATAATTAATCTTAAAACAGCATTCTATTTCACCACATAAAAAAGTTTAATTTAACCAATAAAATGTTTTGACAGATCACAGCTGCACTCTATTTTGTATGTTTACCTCTACCACTCGTTTTCTAATTTCTTGAATTAAGTTTTCATCATAAAGTGTTTTCAGTAGTCTGAATGTATTTCCGCCACCTAAATTAAAACACATCACATTCTATGTTATAGTGTCGCTTTTATAAAAAAAATAAAAGACATTGTACTCATTTTTTCAAAGAGAGACATAATTACATCACTTCATGATATAAATGGAGAATAATATATGTGTGCCTCCACAAAAAGTATTTTAAAAAGTATATAAAGTATATAAAAGAATGAAAAAGCCATGCAGACAATTTTTTTTTTTTTTTTGAAAAATAAAATGGCAACATACATGCATAAAATTCTTATTAAAAATGAAAAAAAAGAGATCAATAATAAAATATTTAATGGCATTTACCCACAAAGAAAGCCTGAGCACTCTTTACTGCTTCTACAGGATTACTAAATTCATGGACACTGTCTAACTTGTATCCTGAAACATATCAATGTAAAAAGTTTTGGAGTCTGACAATAGGAACAATATGGTTTGGCTTCATAATCTAAATATATTCAGTTACAGGGAAAGTGATTAGTCAAACCACTGTCTATACTCCCTGTCACCTTCACTGAATTAGTTCTAGTTCTAGACAGTTTACATGTAGATCTATACATAACACGACATACTACTTGTTGTAACTCAATATAAACTTGAAAAGAAATTCAATTCTGTATGTTTGATAAATATGCTTATATTATACAGCAATTAATTTATATCACTTAAATTAAGGATTACCCATATCTTCAAACTTTGCCCTGGCTTTGGCTGCATAAGCATCTCTGTCATGCAGAGCATATGGCACAAAAAGGACTTTCTCTGTATTGCTTAGATTCAGAAAATAATAAAATTATCAATCGACTGAAAACAAAATATATACTAGAGCGCTTACAGACATACATAAATTTGTGTCATAAATTAATCATGCAATGCTTGCCATCACGTAACTTCCAGGTATCATAACTAGCAGTTGCAGACAAGTGTATATACTGTATATCTTATATGGAAGTTGTGCCGTACTATACTAGCAACAGCTACAATGTACCATAGAAGTAGAGAAAATATGTACCAGGAAATAGACTAACAAAAAGACACTAACACTGTATCTCTTAACACAAACATTTCACCTTACTCACCTCCCTAAGAAATCTTTTATATGCTTGGTACAGTATTCTAGATAACCAAACCCATGCAGGTTGGAACTTGATATCAACAAAGCACGACGTTTTGCGTACGTGGCCATTTTGAACAAGTCACATGACGCGTCATGTGTGCTACATCAGTAGCGCACTAAACACTGGGTTCCCATACTTAGATCGATCTAACAGGACTGGTCCATCCCCATGCGGTTTCTCTCTAAATTGCTTTCAGCTAAGTGGCTTAGCTGTCTGGCACTCCTACTAAAGCTGCTAAATGACACTATCCGTATTAAATAGGGCCTAAATAAATAAATAAATAAATAAATAAATATATGCCATGAAAACATGACAGAAATGTGCGACGTAGAAACATGCTTGCGCGTTTAAGCACGACGTAGCACGCACTCTGGAGTTGCGACAACCATTCTCTCAACACAACTTTAACTTCCATTAAAAACTCAAACCATCTATTACTATAGTTTGATTCGTTTTATTTAAGTATCAAAAAGCAAATGTATATAACTCAACACGGCACAATAAACTACTGCATATGACAGAGCAATGATTTTTAGTTTTAGAACATGAAAATGTGAAGCATGCGATGCCGGCTGATAGTAGGCCTACAGGGGGGGGGGGGGGGGGACTCCCTTCGTTTTCTGAAAAAAAACACAAAAAGGGCCCCCCCTTAAAATTAAAATTTTGAATGACAAAATCATAGTTTTAAAT